TTTTCTTTAACGGAGAGTCTCCAGACTGATCTGCGAGTGAAACCTTGAAAGCTTGCGAGATCAGGATGGTCTCACGAGGCTAACAGATTGCCACTCTGGCTCTCTGAGCAAGACCCTTAAGCCACACTGCTCCCCGGGTGCCGCACAGTGGCAGCCCACTGCTCCCCAAGAGGATGGGTTAAATGCAGAGAGTTCATTTTGCTGCTCTGTACTTGTAACAGTTTAATGACAATAAAAGTTGAAATAAAAAGAAATTAGCTACTTAAAGAATTGTGGGAGACATAATGTAAAGTAAATAAAAGAGAAAAGTTTGGAATTGAGGTTGAAGTCATGCTTACTACTAGTATTGTGACGTTTACCTAAAATCAGAAACCCTGAATTCTTTCCATGTCCAGATTATGGATCAAACAGATGCTTAAATATCTGTAGGTTTTAACATGAGTGTAATGGAAGAAGCTCTTTGAAGTGATAAAAGCAAAATCACCCTTTGAAATTATGAACCCTTTTAATTTTTAACATTGCAAGCACAGGTAATCACATATTATGGTATTAAAGTTTCATTGTGTAGCTCATAACAGCAGCAGGGGATTAGTGTGTATAGGCAGGATTATCCCCTAATGTCCACAGTGTTTACAGTCTCATATGTCACCCCTCCTGCACTCTTGTCATGTCAGGGTTTTAGAGAAAGAACCCTGAGACTCCATCAGAAACCTGATCCATTCTGTTCTGATCCAAACAAAGAGAGCAGCTGTTCTGGCGGGAAACTTGCGAAGACGGAATATTTATCTGGGCTTTGCCGCTTCTGCAGGGACCCCTTTGGGTCTCGCTGAGTTTCCTGTTCTGCACCGATCCAGAGAACTGCAGCAGTATTGATTTTGGGCTTGGCTTCCCAATGAGATTAGCACTGGAATGGGGCTGGTTCTGCTGCTTGGCCCTCCAAGGCTGCAGAAGTGAAATTTCTCTCATGTTGTTCTTAGATTTTTTATTTCCTTAAGCACTTTTCCTTTTCAGTTCTGTGTTTTTTTTCCAGCAAATCTGAACTATTCCAATCCTTCGCCAGCTTGGAGTTACTGTAACCATAGTTGTGCAAATCGATTTGGCCAAAATGTGGCTTGTGCCTCCTTGGCTCTTGCCTCTCTTTCCCACCATCCTCTTCTTCCACCGCTCCTCCTTCTCATCCTTTTCCTCCTCTTCCTCGTCTAAATTCTGTATCCAAGCCAAAAAGCAGAGCCCAACTGACACTGCCAGTCACAGCTCTCCCCACGCCCCGATGCGAACTCAAACACAGCTGGGTTCATCCTGTATCCACCGAGGATAAGACATAGAGGCTCTTTTTGGATAATCTGTTTAAATAATTTAAAGAACTGGGTCACTTTCTGACCCGGTATAACCTCACTCATCCTCCTAGCTGCAGTTGTAGTTTGTCAGGTATGCAAGAAATCTTAGATGATGCAAGAATCTCAGGTTTTTATTAGTGGATTTAGGTTCTCCACTTTTTCTGTCTGGATGTAATCTGAGACTCTGCAGGGGCCCAACGGTCTGCTGCAGCACTGTAACCCCCCCCCTGCCCCATGTTTGGAGTTATCGTACTGTAAAAGAAGTCTGTCGCTCAATGCTGTGTAGTATGCACCAAAAAAGAAACGTAAAACTGAAAAACTGTCTAAGCAGTTGCAGTACATGAGCTGAAAATTGATGCCTCTGTTGCCCAGTTTGTGTATGTTTGTTCCCCCGGACACCCACGCTGAATTTATTTGCAACTTGCAGTGGACCATCTCCTCCCCTCCCTGCTGTTCAGCCACGTATACGGCACATGAAATGTCTGAAAATCTGCTGTTTCCTGTGTCTCTGGGCAAACTTTGAAACTCTCCCAGGTCTAAGAGGCGGTATAAGAGGAGAACAAGCCGTTCTGTTCCTAAACAAAGCCGTATTCTATGCTCTAAAAATAAGTGAAACTTGTTCCATGTAGCTCACATCAGATTAAACTCATTAGAGAGATTTTGAAAGTACTTATTTAAAGTACTGGAAGCTAAATTAGAATTAGATTTAAAATCATAGTAATTTGGGTTCCTTAATGGAGGAAGTAGGATTTTATGTGTTTTAAAGGAATAGTACACCAAAAACATGATTAGCCTTCATTTTCTACTCACCCCCATGCTGAACAACAATCTGGAGTACTTTTTTGATATCTCAAATGCATCTGGAGATCTGGGAGGCTTCTTGCTGTCTGCTGACATTCAAATAATGGAGGTCTATGGTGCCCGAGGCAGAAAGGTCCATAAAAGTCCACAAAAAACGTGTCAATATTCCTCCATACTGCTCGTCCAATGTATTCCAAGTGTCCTGAGTGGGTAGCGTCCATAATTTACTCGAAACAAATTATTTAGAATGTTTTTAGAGCATAAACAGTAGTGTATAGGATTTCCTGAAAGCGCGTTCACGAGTCTACGGAAACCGCTGCAGACCAAACCAGACGAAAGTGCGCATTCAGCTCGGCAAAGAACTCATGCTCTTCCTCAAGACTGAAGTCCTCAGACATTTTTCTTTCGTTGTTTCTTTCTTTGTACAGGTAAACAGCACATTTCTTCTTCTACGCTTGCATTATCGGCAGAGCAGACGCTGAATGCGCACTTTCATCTGGTTTGGTCTGCCGTGGTTTCCGTAGACTCGTGAACGCGCTTTTAGGAAATCCTATACACTACTGTTTATGCTCTAAAAACATTCTAAATGACTTCGTTTCGAGTAAATTATGGACGCTACCCATTCAGGACACTTGGAATACATTGGACGAGCAGTATGGAGGAATATTGACACGTTTTTTGTGGACTTTTATGGACCTTTCTGTCTCGGGCACCATAGACCTCCATTATTTGAATGTCAGCAGACAGCAAGAAGCCTCCCAGATCTCCAGATGCATTTGAGATATCAAAAAAGTACTCCAGAGTGTTGTTCAGCATGGGGGAGAGTAGAAAATGAAGGCTAATCATGTTTTGGGTGTACTATTCCTTTAATGTTAATGAGTATGGAAAATATTTATGTTTCTACACTTTATTTCCTGCATTCTTTTCTCTGAATGTTTTGACATTCCTTCCTTCTTTCTGTCCCTCCATGCTGCCCTCATATCTTTTTTGTGTCCTCTCTTCTTTCTGTCTTTCCATCCTGGTGTCACACTTGTCTGTTCTTCTTTGCTGTGTGTGATTCTGACTCAATTTTCATTTTTTCTTGTCCATTTTCTTCTGTTTTTTCTCCTTTTCTACCAGCCTCCCTTCCTTTCCTTATCCTACCTCCCTTTTTTATGGTGCATTTACACCAAATCCAAATAATGAGGCCGGAGCAGGTGATTTATGTTAACCATATGCAAAGGCACTATAAAGAGCAAAACGATGCAAAGGACTCTTTTCTAACGATGCTTATGGCCTTTAGAGTGAAGTTAAACCACTGTTGGACACGAAGCTAAAAAATCTGAGTCTCAATCTTTTTTTTTTCCTTCCTTTTCTTCCATGTTGCAGTTCCTCTGTCTCTGCTTTGTGTCCTTCCTCTCTAAACTTCCATGTTTTCTGTTGCCCGTCCTTTAATCCTTCCTCCCCTTCCTTTGTGTCTCTATCTCTATTCCATCCTATTTCTCTGGCTTCATTTTTTCCTTCCCTCCGTCTTCCCTGATTCTGCTTTTTGAAGCCTCTACATTCCAGGCATGCCCACTGCAGAACTAAATTTATATGAATCTTTTCATTATTATTTAATATTGAAATAAAGGAATGAAAGGGTTTGAATAATAAGCCCAAAAAGATGAGACCCTTGATGAAAATGCTGCTCCCAGTTTAATCAACCATTTCCCTGCAGTGATATGCAGGCTGCAATAAAGGACATGCTTCTGGACTGCATGCCTGTTGCCATAAAAAGATTTTCTCCATATCCTCATGCTTGTGTTTGTTCTGATTTCAGGGTACATTCCCAGCTACCTCGAAAAGGATGAGCCATGTGTGGTGTGTGGCGACAAAGCCACAGGTTACCACTACCGCTGCATTACCTGTGAAGGCTGCAAGGTATGCATACGCAACCATAGCCGCCTGCTGCAGCAGCAGATATCTTATTCCTTTAGTTTCATGTCATTGGATCAGGCTTTTCTCGGTGGAAAAATGCAGTAATTATAAGGTGCTTTAAACATTTAAATAGTGTATTTATTATTCTGTCTTGGGGTGAATTTCTGATGTCGTTTATAATGAGAAGAAATCAATTAAACTAAACCTTAAGAAACCTTTAGAAAGCCGGAAATAATGGCTGATATGCATCATGTTAACGATCATAGGAAAGTCATTCAATATCCGAAGCTGAATGAAAAAAAAAAAAGGATTTAAGGTCTTTGCACCAAACGGTGGTTTAGCGTTTCACCAAAAAGCTGCAGGAGGACGGATTGTTGCTCTTCACTGCAGCTGCAGACTGACAGGATCGTGTTACCTCGTCTTTTTTTTTTATTCCTCCATCACTTTCATTTCTAACTGCTCCGTTTCCCACCAGGCGACCCCTTCCGTGTCACAGACTGTCACTCTGCCTGAAGCATTCATTCATCTCTCTCTCTTGTGTTTTTTTGCGCTTTTATCCCGATGCCTGCAGGGTTTCTTTCGTAGGACCATTCAAAAGAACCTCCACCCCACTTACTCCTGCAAATACGATGGCTGCTGCATCATCGACAAGATCACCCGCAACCAGTGCCAGCTGTGCCGCTTTAAGAAGTGCATCTCGGTGGGAATGGCCATGGATTGTAAGTGCTGAGCTTTCATCTTTCCACACAACAAACAAAAACTTAAATGTTTTCAATTGGATTTTGAGCAATAAATAAAGGGTAGAATGCTTTACCATGGCTTTGGTTATAAATGGTCTAATTCACAAGTTATGGTGAATAAAACATGCTTCCTGTTGAAATATTTAGTTTTAAATAACAAGTTACTTGGATAATGATTATATGAAACATTTTTACATTTTTCTGTACCCAGTGGTGCTGGACGACTCAAAGCGGGTGGCTAAACGGCGCCTTATTGAGGAGAACAGGGAGAAACGCAAAAAGGAGGAGATGGTGAAATCCTTGCAGAGCCGTCCAGAGCCCACTGTGGACGAATGGGACCTGATCCGGCTGGTGACGGAGGCCCATCGGCACACCAACGCTCAGGGCGCACAGTGGAAACAGAAGCGCAAATTCCTGGTAAGGACTTGCAAAAATAAAAAAAATGTATTTCATTAATATATATATATATATTTGGTCCGCTTTAAAGATCAGTTCCTGCTATGTGCTCTTTAGTCTGGCTCTTAGAGTAGGGAAACCTTACAGGATCAGTCTGAATGCTGCAGGAGTAGAGTTTTCATGCTAAGGACTTGTTAATTAATGACTTAATATTTATCAAAATTTCTTCCATCTGTTTAACTGACGACATTTTTTCAATGTTACATTGATAAAACGAGCTAAAGTATAAACATGAGACAATCATGAATCCATTTTGTGATTGTTTACACTGTTTAATAGCAAAACCAATGCAGAATGCAATTTATGCAGTTGTTTGTAAATATAAATTAAATTCAATTCAGTTTATTTATATAGTCCCAATTCACAACATGTCATCTCAAGGCACTTTACAGTTCAACCAGATCATCCAGTCAAATTGATACAAGAATTTCTAAGGAAAACCAGTTGATTGCATCGACTCATTGACTCAAATACAATCCCTCACACTAAGCATGCTTGCAGCGACAGTGGAGAGGAAAAACGCTTAAACCTGGGTGCACACTCCTCATCTAAAGGAGATTTAGATACGAGAAGGAAACTTTCCGTGTCGGGAGGTAATGACAAATCAAACCAGCCCTGCTGCCGTTGCTAACTCACATTTTGCACTATGAATTCACACGGCACATAATCCATTTGCTTTTAACGTGTCAAGTATGACTCCATAGGTCCTGCATGAATTCCCCAATTCTGCCTCCAGACTGCTTGAATTCTCTGTGCGTTTTCTAACACCTGTGGAAGTGAACATTCTCTGAGGCATGATGGAAATTAGGAGCTACTTTACTGAGAGCAGCTCTAAAGAATCCTGAGCTGTTGAAATGTTCCCAAACCTTCTGTCTTTTAGCGTCAGAGATGCACCAATTAAATTCTGAAAGTCTGCAGTGAATTAAGGTTCAGTCCCCTTGACTCCGACACCTTCAACGAGGTGTATTTCAACCAAATAAATTAATGCAGAATCAAGTAAGTTGATATAAAATGAAACACCACTGGAATATAATATTTAGATAGTTTCTATGGATAATTATGATGTAATTTGCATCAGTGTAACACATAAAATCCTAGCAAAATATATCTTGAGGGGTACTTCTGGGGTGGATGGTTGATATAGAAAGCAGGAGAAATATCTGCGTTTTAGACGTCCCACCTGCCAGCTTGGACATGACTGATCATAACCCAGGATTTGCTTCAGTAGAGATAAGGAGAGAGTTTACAGAAAGCAGAGCAATGACATATGCTGAGATTCATGGGGAAGCAGGATACATTAATCTTCTAAACCATTAACACAATTACATTTGGTTAAGAGCCCAGAAACAGCACAGCTCCCCAGGTACAACAAAAGCAGAGTTTTTCAGAAGGCCTTTTGCTCTATATATGCCAAGTTGCCAAAGTTAGCTTTTTTCAAGAATTTTGAAATAACATTTTTATAAAATTAGGAATTCAATAAATTTTCACGTTGGTGTTTCACCCCGCCAACAGCATCAATGTGGATGTAAGCTTTGCAGTTGAGATTTAGAAGCTATTCTTTTTACAGTAGATTTAACATCCTACTAAAACATCCTCTTTTTTTTTTATGAAATAATGAACATTTATATAATTGAAGATCTCAAAATAGTTTTTTAGTTAAAGGTTTTGGTGTTTGTACACACCATCTGACCAAAGTGAAATATGAATCCTCCCCATAAACCTTCAGCAGACATAAATCTCCTGCTTTTCATTGGTTTTAAACTTATAAATTTAAAACTGATGGTCAAGGAAGCATTTTCCAAATAGTGAAGTGTTTTCATCAGAATCTGTTTAATCTGTGCATCGAGCAGAAGATCCGATTAAAAAACCAGCAGACATCTGGTTCTACTTCAACTCAGGTTCAATAATAAAAAACACTTTTTAATTCCAGCTCCAAGTTCCAAGAAAAAAAATTACCCTTATGCCAGATATGTTGAATAAATTTTACATTTTTTTTTTTATTTGGCTCTAACTGATACATCAGTATACGTTATCTTAAAAAAAAAAAAACATCCACATAATCAGGAAACACGAATCCAAAAAAATTTATGACTATATATGAGGTATAAAGCCAGAGTTTTTACTGTTTTCTACTAGTATAGAGTAAGTATACAGGGCTTACTGTATGATAAGTAAGCCCTGGTATAATTTACTCTTCAACATCCTTTGTTTGTTTAGTTGTTTGCCTTGAACGCTAAAGGTTTGTCTTTCTTATCTACACATGACTCTGGGATTACCTTCTGATTCGCAGAGTAAAAGGAAACTCACCGTTAATGTCGCCCTGAGATCCTTCAATATCTTCCAGTCTGTAATTCTCTAGAAAACAAAGTTTCACTCAGAAAAATTACTTCAACGATGTCTGATACACTGCTCAGCTTTGACAGCATCATCCCACTGCATCTGATAGGCAAACTGGAACAGCCGGGCTTCAATACACCCCTCTACAATTGGCTGCTAGACTTCCTCACAGTCTGAGTTGGACAGAACACCTCTGATGTCTTCAACCTAAGCATAGGCTCCCCTCAAGTCTATGTCCTGACACACAACTGCGCCCCCTGGTTCACCAATCACACCATGATTGGTGAACTGACACCATCAGATATAGAGGTGGTCTATAGGTCTATATGGGGGTGCACATCACAGAAAACCTCACCTGGAGTGTAAACACCACCTCACTGGTCACAATGTGTATTTTACATCCTGCGGAGGATAAGAGAGCCCTCCTGCTCCCACCCATCCTCACCACCTTCTACAGAAGCACCATAGAGAGCGTTCTGACCAGCTGTCTCACTGTGTGAAGTGGAGGCTGCAGCGCCTCAGACTGGAAGAAAGAGTTTTATGCCAGCGCTGCGTGACCTCTCACACCATCACCATGGTCTGTTCCCCCTGCTGCCCTCTGGGAAGAGGTTTCAAAGAATTCAATGCAGGTCCAGTAGATTCTGCAACAGTTTCTTCCCCACCGCCATCAGACTGCTGAACTGTTGGGAAATACTCTAAATCATTTAGAGTCTGCATCAAACTTATAACACCAAACCGAAAATACTGCATATTCGCACCATTAATGCTCTGAATTTCCATATCAATGTGTTTTTTTGCACATTGTTTTTTCTCCCACACTGCTTACATTTGATCAGTGCCTCTTTTAATGGAATGGAAATTTTAATTTATTGTCTTAAGCTGCATTAAATCATGCCACCTGTTGGTGAGCTGGGAAATATCCTTCCTTCCCTCCCTCTCTTCTCCTCTCCTCTTTTTTCTATCTTCTCTTTTTGTTCTTCGATGTTTTATTTTTCCTTTTTTTATTTTTGCTTTCTTACTTTTTTATTTTTTTTTTGACTTTTTTTATTTTTTCTTTCTTACCTGCCTTCCTGTCCATCTTTATGTCCATTATTTTTATTCTTTTTCACTATCTTTTCTTGTTCTTCCTCACCCGTCTCCTGCCCTTCCTTTTTTATCCTTGTTCTTTCATTCATTCTTTCCTTGTTTTCACCCTTTTTCTTTTTATTTCATCTGTGCATTTACTTTCTTACATTCTTGGTGTTCTTTCTCTTATCATGCTTTCTTTCTTCTAATTTCTTTCCCTCATTTTTTTTCCTGTCTGACTTCCTTCATTTTATCTGTTTTTCTTTCCTCAGTTTATTTTGTTCCACCTTTGTCCTTTTTCCTTCTTTTGTTTCTTCATATTTTCATCCATGTGTTCTTTCTTCTGTCTTTCCTCACTCAGATGATGATTGTAAATATAGTCCACATTACAAAGAAGTGTGGAAAAGTGTCAAACTTTTACACAATTAATCCATGACTCTGGAGCCAGCTACCCTTTGTTGTTGAAAACTCAGGTTTCACACATTAAAGGAAAAAAAAAGGAGCCAGCAATAAGCCCTTATAATCAGTCAATTAGACTAATCCAGCTCTTAGATCAACCAAAACTGATTTGTTTTTATTCAAAAGGTCAAGCAGAGCACAGAGCTACAATGTTTTCAGAGACATTCTTCCATGACTCTTGCTACATTTATCGATGTTCAGGTCATTTTAGAAAATTAGGCTGATTCGATAACCTAATTTATCCTCATCAATTTCCAGAATTAGACTCTGCATTAATCTAGATAATCTGCTGAGTTCACTTTAAGAACTTTTCCCTAGATTTTGTTGTTTTCTTAAGTTCTCTAGACTTTTCTAATCACATTTTGCCATAGATGAACTCAATGCAAACAAAAGCCATTCCAACATAAAGTGTTAAATACAATATCTGTGGAATAAGTGTATCAAATTAAGTGTGTAAAACCCTCAGATGATTCTCCTACTTCTCCTCAAAAGCTTTTATTTTTTATTTTTTATATATATACAAACTACCCTGACTACCTACAAATGCTATGCTTGTTTTTTTAATCTAGAGTTGCATCTATCAAAGTTATTATTGCAATATTTTAACCTTTACATGAACGATCTTATGGCAGTTTTTGGTCCAAGTTTTATGATTGATGGCTTGCAGTTGAAGGCGATTATTCTTATGCTTATCTTAACCTTGGCTGAAGCTCAACTGCAAAAAAAATAACTTTAGCTTTGCACATACTTTATTAACTAGAGGTATGAAACCGTATTTTTCATTATCACATTTCATTTGCTGAGATATCTAAATGTGAACGTTTTAATATCCACAATCCTCACATTAGACCCAAAAACTTCAATGCATTTCATCGTTATTTTATGCGACTAAAATAGTGCTCAATGGAAATGACAAATAATTCAGTGTTTTTATTAAAGTTTTCAATTAAAATCTGAAACTTCTCAGCCTCTATTGATAATCACGGTACTTTCTTAGTCATCCTGTTTCAAACTGGATGGGATTCTGTGTGACAGTCTTTACTACAAACTATGTTTTATTATCTCTAGATCTCCAACCAAAAGATCAGTGCAAAAACGATCTAGAAATTAGGGTTGTCACGATACTAAACTTTTCAACTCGATACCGATACTAAGCAAAATATCCGATACTCGATACCACATTCGATACCACAAGGATAAAAACAGACTCCAAAATTCTACAGAAATATTTTCATTAATAATTAAAATACAATAAATACAATAAAGGTTGTATGCTGTGCACAATATTAAGCAAGCTTGATAAATTAAAAGTAAGTGTTCCTTGGCTATGCTTTGCACACATAGCAATGACGCTAGCCAAACCGGTTAAGAAACAAAAATAATTCTCAGCAGCTGCAGCTGTTACAGAAAAAAGTCTGAAACTGAAAAGTGCGTAGAATTATTCAGAAAGTGCATTTTCCTCTAGATGAATGACTGCTTAGCTGCCACTGGTGGTAGCACTGTATCGATACTTTTAAAAACGAGTATTGTATCCGGATACAACGTTTCAGTATCGATACTTTTTTGAATATCGATACTTTTGACAACCCTACTAGAAATAAGTAAAAATTTCTTAAATTAAGTGTATTCACCCTTAATTTGAGCAGGTAAATGAGATAGTTTGCCACTGGAATGAGTAATTTTAGTCTTAAAATAAGATAATTAGATAATATGCACTTGAAATAAGACAACCCAATTGTGTTTTCTTATTTTAAGTGTAAATTGTCTTGTTCCATTGGCAAAATGTCTCTTTTACCTCCTCAATTCAAGAACAAATGCACTTATTTTAAGAAAAAATGACTTATCTAGATTTAGATTTTGAGGCTTTATAAAAATAGTTCACTTAAGAATGCAAAAATTAAAAAAGAACTCTGCAATAGGTTTTTAGAGCTTATGTTTGAGGGTTTTGGTCATTCTAAGGGAGGTTTTAATAGATATTCTAAAGCTGGACGGATTTCTGACGGATTTTTTTTTTTTTTTTTACACCATTTCCTAATCGCTGTTTTTTTTCACCTGATGCAGCCAGAGAAAATTGGCCAGTCTCCGGTTGCCCCAACGTCAGACGGTGACAAAGTGGATCTTGAAGCCTTCAGCGAGTTCACCAAGATCATCACCCCTGCCATCACTCGCGTGGTTGATTTTGCCAAAAAACTGCCCATGTTCTCTGAGGTGAGTGAAGGTAGATTGTTTGGCAGCAGAGAACCGGTTCAGAGAGTGATGGATGCTGCTACGTTTCTGTCCGACTGTGTTTGTTTGTGTAAATTACTTAGGTTTAGTTGTACAGTTTGTCTGGACGATAATTTCATGTATTTTCAGAGAACACGAAGATTGAAGTAATGACTAAGCTGAGCAGTAGAAAGCCTTGATAATTCATCCATACTCCTCAACCTGGTATATGAATGGAAAGTGAAAGGAAAAGGATGTGTTTTCATTTTTTTGTTTTTTGTTTTTTTTTTCAAATGAACCCTTAGCAGCAATTATTCCTGCAAGTTTTTTGTCTGTTTCTTTACAGGCTTAACACTCATTTTCATTTATAAAACACCTTAAGTTCAGTCACATATGACAAAATGGTCTTTTTCAGTTCTTGCCACAGAGTCACTTGAATTTGTTTCCATCTGTCGGGTTCATAAAATGTAGGTTTTTGCAAAAGAAGAACTGAAATACACAATTATGGATTCAATTTCTGCAGAAAGGAGAGACAGTTGAACCCCAGACTCAAACACACTGTCTCCCACTGGACCTCCTCCGCAGAGCATTTTATTAACATAACATGACACATGGTTACAAACAGAGTATTGTTCTGACAGAACAATTGATCAGTTCATGAAGACAGAATGCTCCATCAGAATGACAAGGCAGGATGGTCTCCTGACTGGATCATGAAACAGGAGTGGAGCATCCCCTCGCACAAATGTTTCATAAACACACATTAATTTTATAATCATCATTGAATAAACCTAACACCATCTACAGTTTTTGTGTATGCTTAAAGCCTCTGCCCTGCTAGAAGGTCAACATCTGTCTACATCTCATCTTCTGCAGCCTCCTATAGGGTTTTTCTCCTTTTACATTAATCTAAGCTGATCTACTGCTTCCCTGTTACTGCATTTTGGGCAGTAGAGAGCATCTGATTTACATGCATCGTCCAGCAGCATCAAGAGGCCCTCCGAGCGTTGTGGCATCATATAATCCAACACCGGAGTTCGGAAATCTTAACTTTTGCACCTTGCCGTAGAAGTTCAACCAATCAGAAAACCACAAACTAGAGTTTTCTGGGAGACACTACATGCTAGCTGTGATCCCTTCTGCAGAGCTGTCAGTATATGAAAAATTTATATTTATAAAAGGTGTTAAACACAGGATTTAAAAAGGCAGGATAATTTATTTTTCTATAAACAAGGAACAGAGAATGAATTCTGATCATTATTGCACCACTAAAACATTTTCTTATTGAACTGTGGTGAAACAGTTTATAAAGGATATATATTAACTAAAAATGTTAAAACCTGCCAGCTAAAAAAATAATAGGTATATATATATACCAATGAGTACCAAATATTTTTGGCATTTATTAATATAATTACCAAAATATTTAGTACCTACAGTTCTGGTACTTACAGTTTTTACCACAAATATAAAAAAGACTTTATATTCACTTTCAGCTGCTATAAATGGTAGCATGAAATCCCCAACAGCATTGGGCTTCAGAGAGCTTTCACTGGGGAAGTCCAGCGCTGTCACCCGCCGGTCTGCTGTAGGGGCCTCCTGCCCCAAACAGAACTAATTATTTAATTAGGAACATATCCTGATAAAATTACTACACAGATGACATTTTGAGGTGGATTTGTTGAGAAAATAACCTTTAAAACCTTTTTTTCCCCCCAATTCATCAAAGCAAATAAAGCCAAGCTGCTCTTTAGATGCAACGAAACAACAGAGCAGCTCGACAGCCGGAGTTCCGAGCATTCAAAGCGTCTGACCTCAAATTACACAAGCATCCAAGTTTAGGAGTTGGATGCTCTTTTGATGATGTGTGAACGCAGCATAAGAAAGCCATTCCAAACCATAATATAAGCTGCAACCAGATTCTTTTCCCAACTAAAAGGTCTCCTGCTGACAGATTATGGTAACTGAGCTGTGGAGATCTGCAGCTAATCCAATTTAAGAGCCTTTCCCCTGTTCTTCTAATTCATAACCTCCTTACCAAGCCAGACAATTTATCCATGTTTTGGTATATTTGTAGATATGTTTTCCACTTTCAGATGATGAGATGACAAATGTTCAAAGTTTTATAGCCTAACTCTGATTTAAGTTTCACCAAACCTTAATTTATGACCTTGCTGCTGAACACCTACTCTTTAGTCTGTTTGTTCTCCAGTGTTCTCTAACAAACCTCTAAAGCCTTAACCAAACAGCTTTATTTATACTGTGACTTATTTACACATGAAGCCTGTGAACGCAAAGGTGCAACATTTTCATTTTAGACTCAGTTTACTTGAAGGCAAATTATTAACAGAATTGAAACCTTCAAAAATACTCTTCATCCATCATCTTTCTCAAAAGCAGTCTAATAATTAAGTGACGATGGTGTTTTTGGAGAATCATCCAAGGCTTTTTGTCTAATGCAACAGATGCATTCAAAGCATCTTGAGTTGGAATTTGTAGCTAAATTAATCCCAAATGAAGAGTCGTCTTTATAATCCAGAGATTTTAATATTTGGAGACATATCCAGGAGATTTGGGTGCTGTTTTTTTCGTTAGTATAACTGTTTTTTTCATTTTATTTTGTGTTTTTTAATCTAATAATAAAACTTAATGATAAAACTTAAAAATGTACAAATACAGTTTAGCTAAGATGGGGTTTCGTTATGCTGCCTAACTGAATCCCCGATAGAAAATGCACAGAAACAAAGCCAACAGTCATTAAGCCACTAAAAGCTAATTAGCTGCTTCTCCTTTAAATTGATGTAGCAGTAAACGCATTGTAAGCATTTCGTTTACGCTTCGATGACGAGCCCTGATTACAAATGTACAAGACAGAGCAAGACAGCGAATGTCAATTAAACTGTTCAGCTGCCAGTTGTGACACGGGGAGGGAAGAGTTGCATCGAGGTGAGATTAATTCAGAACACCCAATGAAATGAGATTCGGCTTAGGGCTCCTTGTATCCATTTAAATCGTGGTTTTTGAATTATCTGTCCATGCAGCGGAAACAGATACAAGTTTGGTTGAATGCATGTATTCATGATCCTGCGGGTGACAACCCATCTGCCTCTGCTGTAGATTAGTGAACAGATTCTTCATGCGTCCATTGTGGATTGTCACATGGCACAATTTGTGACAGATGACAGTATAGACGGGACTTGGTCGGGTGAACTCTGGGTTATTGTCTAATTGTTATTCACGTTTTACTCAGTTGTTGCTAAGCTACAGGCAACACACCCATGTGCTTTTTTCCTGCTAGACTTATTTCAACAGTTTGTCAGGACCTATGAACCTCTAACATTAGAACTCATAGTGTCAAATAGCAACTCTTTATTTTTTCTTGTTAGGATTTTAAAGGCGAGGAAGCTTGTAGTGATGATATATGCTGGCTTGAACCACTCACTTTTACACTGTCTGCAGTCGGTACAAAATGCAGCTGCCTGTCTCCTTACTGGCACACGTAAACGTGACCACATATCACCTGTTCTAGCCTCACTGCACTGGCTCCCGGTTGTTTTTAGGATAGATTTTAAAATTGTATTTTTTGTTTTTAAAGCTCTTAATGGTCTAGCCCCCCAGTATTTGACTGAGCTTCTCCAAATTCATACCCCGGCCAGAACACTGAGATCCTCTAATCAGCTGCTACTCACGATGCCTAAAACCAGACTTAAAACCAAAGGTGATCGTGCCTTTATGGCAGCAGCAGCGAGACTCTGGAATAACTTGCCTTGGCATATTACTGTAGATCAGCAGGCTCCTTTGAGGTTTTTAAATCCTCTTTAAAATCACATTTCTTCTCCCTGGCTTTTAATCATGTCTAAGTGGAAATTTGGCAAAATTTTATTTTTTATTTTATTTTATTCTAAAATGTATTTTAATTGAAACATTGATCTTATTCTATTTTTATGTGTTTATGTATTTTAGCCTTCAGCTTTTATCTTATGTTCCTTAACTGTGATTCCTGTACAGCACTTTGGTCAACCCCGGTTGTGTTAAATGTGCTTTATAAATAAAGTTTGAGTTGAGTTGAGTTGATGAGTAAAGTGAAAAAATGATTTCTTGAGGCTAAAGATGTCCTGCAGGGTCATTGTCATTCTACAGACTGGAAGGTACCATTGCAGATTTTTAAACCCTGGCTCTATGGTTGTGACAAAAAAACAAGGATAAGCACTTGAGTAATTAAATGTTTGTCAAATAAAGCTTAAAATAAGCAGTTTAAGGGGAAAGTGGAAAAAAATCAAACTTGTCAAAAAGAAGAGGTTGAATCAATCAAATTAGACTAAACCAAACCAGCAAACCAAAACCCGGACAGGAATGGAGTCCGCAGTACAGCAACTGTCGTCTTAAAGGACTCATGATGTTTGACGCACGGACAATCTGCATGGAAAATTAGCTTCCCGGCCGTTACAACATCTGTAGCATTTGTGTTCTGTGCAGCTTTCTACTAACCTGACTCCGCATATCTATCTGGAAACCTTCCGTTGAAGTAATTTTGGGAAGGGGCGAAAATACTGGTTAGCTGATTGGCCTATGTTGGTGATAGACGGGCCAAATAAACCAATCAGATCAACGAAGCATATGACGTACTAACAGAGCGACGATGAAGAGGAGCCAATTGATAGATCAAACTCTTGCCGAAACCAGTCGGGAGAAGAGCAAAAACATCTTTTCCTCTGAGAAAAGCCTCCAGAGCAGTGTTTTGCTCTTCTTTCAGTGAAGAAATACTCTGTAATTCTGATAAAACTTGCTCGATAGCCACGCTAACGCTAGTTTCATCGGCTGAAGCTGCCATGTTCTTTAGACTGAACTGTCGCGCTTCTCGTTGCGTCACACCTCAACCCGCCTCAAAGCCAACGCTGATTGGACGTTCGTTTGGTGAACGGCTCCAAATTTTCTTCAACGGAGAGTCTCCAGACTGATTAGCGAGTGAAATCTTGAAAGCTCCCGAGATCAGGATGGTCCCACGAGGCTAGCTTTCTACCCCTTCTGGTCAGCTCCAAGTGGGCATGGTTAGCAGAAGCTGCATGCTGACGACAACACACCACTAGCAGAAGCAGAACACGGCCGTTAAAAACTTTTTAATTTTCTTTTAAATTGATTTAAATAAAGTTCCAAATGCAACAAATATCTCTAATGTTTCAGAAATAATGTAATTTGTTGATAGTGTCAGTATCAATAGGATAATACCACAGGATTACTGTGGTACTATAACCTTACTCCCTTTTATTTTGCAGTTCTAGCCAATTAGTTCACCTTAGAAGAAAATATGATTATATTTTATGGCACAATAGATATTTTTTGGCTCTTAAAAGCTATATTGTCAGAGGCAGACACATGGATGGTTTTAGAGGAGTGTCAACAGGGGACAGTTCCACTGTAGAACTGAAATGATGATACACACTGGCAGAGAAACTGAACTGCTCCCCTGCACCAGTTATTTTTTAAAAACCCTTACAGTTTTAATTTAACGACAAGTTCAGAATGATAGTGTTGCACTTTTAGCTTGAGCCATATAGAGTTGAGGTTTCTGCAACATTCAACTCCAGGGTCCCCGTTGATCTGTGGCTCCGTTGATAGATTTAACAATGGACTTTTTCCCCATATTTTTCTACCTATCTTTTTTTTTTTCTTCTGTAACCCTATGAAAAAACCAGGGCCCAGCCCTTACCCCTCTGTTAACTTTGGTCCAATGGGTAGCAGGCCATATTTAGCCTGTTGGACTAGATTTATTCACATGCTCTTCTCCTTATTATAGCAAATCACTAATAAAATAATCAATCAGTTGTGGAAACAAAGGTGTTGTTAACAGAAAAAGGGTTTTTATGCTGTATAGTCAGAGTACATGCAGCATTTTCTCAGGGATCCTATATATTTTGATACAGTATATATCCTCACAACAGAGATAATGTCTCCATTGACCAATAAAAGGCATTTGTTTTTGTTTGATCATCAGCTGCCTTGCGAAGACCAGATCATCTTATTGAAAGGCTGCTGCATGGAGATCATGTCGCTGCGAGCGGCCATCCGCTATGACCCGGAAAGCGAGACGCTGACGCTGAGCGGGGAGATAGCTGTAAAGCGCGAGCAGCTGAAGAACGGAGGGCTGGGAGTAGTGTCTGACGCCATCTTTGATCTGGGCAAAAGCTTGGCACAGTTTAACCTGGATGACACCGAGGTGGCGCTCCTACAGGCCGTGCTTCTCATGAGCTCAGGTATGTTTAAAAGTAAAAAGGTTTCTTCATTTTATATTTTATTTACAGTTGCTTAACATGATGTTCAGTATAAAATCTAATAAACAAGGTTGCATTTAAATTACATAATTTAGTTCTTTTAGCTTTGGTAGCAAGAAAAGTTTTCTAGTTTCTAATGGAGAATGTTGCAGCCGGAAGAAGATAAATTCCCCAATAACTGAAGCACATTCATAGGGCCTCTTTCTTAGATCGATATCATTGACCCAGTCTGCCATTCCAGAGGCCTTGTCTTAGTCCTTCTTTAAAGCTAAGAACTCCAGGAAAACCAAGATACAGTATTTATTTTTCTTTTTGTTCTCTTAGCACTGTCCTCAGCCTCTCGCTGTTATTTCTTGACACGTCCAGGCAGATTGTTTTTCTTACTTTTTGCCTTGACTACTTAGCTGTGAGTTGACAGGATTTGGTTGAAACTGTAGTCATGCAGTTTAACTTTGATGGCTTAAATAGTCTAACATGCCACTTCTGCTCACTTGCAGCATTTCTCTATCAATAATCTTGATGGTGTTGTCCCACCCCTGTTGCACAGAACTCGTCAGATGTTTGTAGTCTTTCCAAATGGCTCTAGAGCACATTTGAGCTCTTATTTCTGTCTGCTTCTATGTTTTCTGCTCTCCCTGTTGTGGTCTTGTTCTCTTTGCCAACTTCTTTGCCCGCTCTTCAGCGACGTGTGTTATAGAGGGGCGGACTTCTGAGCTTCTCTCAGAGTATAAATTCTTCCAAGCAAACTACATTTTTTTCTTGTTCTTGACTTCTTAAGAACAAGTAGAAATGTCATAGTTCTTGTTGAGTATGTAGCTGGCTTTATAGCAGAGAGGCTCGCCAAAATGGCCACTGTCTTCTCTATCTCAGGGCTAATTTTTTATTCTTTAAACAAAGATACCCATTAGCTGTCAACAAAGATGGGATGAGCTAGTCTTCGTGGGGTCCACAAGACAAAACACCTTTGCCACTCCCTATTGGCCAATATTTTCTATTTATATTCAATTCAATTGAGTTTATTTTTATAGTGCCAATTCACAACACATGTCATCTCCAGGTACCTTACAGCTCACCAGATCATACAGTCAAATTGATTTAAAGTTTTCTATCTAAGGAAAACTAGTTGATTCCATCGACTTATTGACTCGAATGCAATCCCTCACACTAAGCATGCTTGTAGCGACAGTGGAGAGGAAACACTCCATTTTAACAGGAAGAAACCTCCAGCAGAACCAGGCATAGTGTGAGCGGCCATCTGCTGAGGCCGACTGGGGTTCATGGAGACAGAAGCAGAGTTACAGAAAGCAGCTGTAAAAGGCGGCCCCGTCCAGGAAACACACAGCCAGGCAATATCACAATATATTGCAATTTTCTACCCACCTGATATCAAATTTTAAAAAAAGTAAAACGGCAATTTCTGTACATTATATGTTCGTCAGAAGATATTGATAGTTCATTTATTATGTTGTTTTGTTAGCCACGTTGTTTGGGGTTTAAGTCAGTCTGTGTTGGCCATTGTGGCAGAAATGGCGGCAAAGCACAGCAAAAGGTCCATGGCACCATTTACAGGAGCAGTGGTGCAGAAGTAGTGCATTTCCCCCCCACTTTTTTATTGAAAAAAGTATTTTCTTTTTAAATCAAACTTAAAAGCTGAAAGATTGATATTATATCGGGTGGCTTAAAATCTCGATATATCACCAAATCGATTTTTTTCCCATACCACTATTCCCTACTTTGCCCCACAATTCTGGTCCAACCACTTAAGGTAAACACAGCCTAGATGGATCTCAGCTTTCCCATTCTGAGTCACTAAAAAATTTCCAGAACTTAATTTTCCCAGAAGCCAGAATGACTTGCTTCAGAAAAATAGTTTTTCATTTTTATTACCCCTTACCGACTGTAATTTCTCGTTTTAACCTGCATCTTGCTATTTTTTATTTTTTTTTATTTAGGTGGAAAACCAACCAATCATTGACAGTTCAAACTCCAAGAAATAATAAGGGGTTCAGAGCTTGTTTAATGTTGCTTTTGTCTGCTTTTTTGACAGATCGCTCGGGCCTGACTTGTGTGGACAAGATAGAGAAATGTCAGGAGACTTACCTGCTGGCGTTCGAGCACTACATCAACTACCGCAAGCACAACATTCCCCACTTCTGGCCCAAGCTCCTGATGAAGGTGACTGACCTGCGGATGATCGGGGCATGCCACGCCAGCCGCTTCCTTCACATGAAGGTGGAGTGTCCCAACGAACTCTTCCCGCCGCTTTTTCTCGAGGTGTTTGAGGACCAGGAAGTGTGACACACGGAGTCGCTGCCATTACCTATGGGAAACAGAAAACGGGAGATGGGCAAAAGCCTCGGAGACACAGGAAGAGTCTCACTGGCGGGAATTTGCGTTTCTTCAACATCAAATTCACAGTTTGCGGTTTAAGAAAAACTGGTCGTAACACGAAAAAAAAATAAATAAACCCACACACACCAGCATAAGGAGAACGGAACCAATGCTCCTCCTTCTCTTTTTCTACACCTTCTCCTGTTTAAGAATCGGTGTGGGGGCCCTTCTGTCTGAGCAGCATCTTTCATCCAGAAAGAGTTTTTGCCATTTGCCAAGACACATCCAAAAAACACACGACAACACTCACACTCAGAGCCACAGTTTCTTTCACCTCAGTTCTTCAGGGCAGCGTTGTTTGTGGGGGTCGGGTTCCCCTCCTTGTTTCCTTTTTTTTTTTTTTTTCTTGTATGCTTCTTGCAGTGCTCACATTTGAAGCAGCTTCCGAGCTGATCAGGACCCTTACAGTATTATTTCTGAAAAAAGTGTTAAAACAGTCATTCAGAAAAAAAAGGGGGGAATGTCGATGCTATTTTACACATTCTTGTAGGCAATCAGCGAACACTGCAAGCAGAAACTATTTTTTATTTCTTTTCTCCCCCCCACATTTTGCTGGTGTGCAACGGCGCCGATGGAAGCAAACGCTACCAGACTGGGCAGCCTGTTACTCAACTCAATCTGAGCCGTTACTGCTGTTGTTGTTGTTTTGTGATGGAGCTGCTCCTCATCCCACTGAAACTGGTGCTGTATTTATCTAAAAAAGGCTAGTTCAGTTTGATTCAATGAAATCTACTGTCAGCCTTTAAACAGGAGGCAGACTGCAGCTCCATATCTACCTTCTTTTTTTATTTTATTTTTTGTCATCGGACCTACTCCTGTGACTCAGACACACAGACATGTGCAGGCAGTCCCTCTCACTGCCTATGCAGCTTTCATACCGTTGTATGAATGACAATAAAGCGCTTCTCTCTCTGAGGAGTTACCACTCTGAAAGAAGGAAAGGGAAAACGAGACGGCAGGAAGAGGGCATTCCCTTTGAGAAGCATATAATAGGGGAGCGGAGACAGGAAGAGGAAGTGTGATGTAATACCCAGACTGGGGTCAGAAGTAAATCTTCTACACCCCGTCTTCCTGTCTCGCTCTTCATCTCACACATATTTACATGGAAACATACAACCTCACCTCAGTGTAACATGAATGCCTCATTTTACTGTACACACTGCACTGCGGTGTCAATATAAAGCCCTAACCTGTAGGGTTTCTACAGGGAGAGTCCTCTCCTCATGGACTCAGCTAAGCGTGGCCCCTCCAGGCTTACATACACACTTGCCTTTTTTTAGAAAAAAATTAAAAAGAGAAAAAAAAAAAAAAGTGAAAGAAAAAAAAATGTATGGGAGTCACTGAGAGCAGGTGAAAAGGCCAAGAAGGCTAACATTTACCTCAAAAAAGCGGACACACCCCACTGTGTCAGGCACTACCTCACCTCTGTGGACACAGGGCAGCTGCCCACAGCCAGACATACACCATTCAAGTAGTTGCATATGCAGACTTATATAAAGACGTGCATTTTTTTTTTGTTTTTTTTGTTTTTTATTTGCCTAACAGCACAAAAAACACTCACAGAACACAAACAGACACACATTCAACTCTCTCACTTGGTTCAAATGAAAAACCATTCAAAAAGACAGGAGGGCCGACCACCCTTCTCCATCCTGCAGGGGGAGTGGTACCAATGACATGCAGATCATCTCTTCTGTTATATGGGACCAAGCATCATCCATTTCTGTAAAAACAGGAAGTGACTTATAGAAGCAGGAAGCGACGGACGAGACTCGGCCCCAGAACAACGCGCACCCCCCAATGAATTGGCATGCAGAGAACAACCATCTCCACACTATCACAGCTCGTCCTGTAATATCTGCCACTGGATATTGATGAATAGAAGATTTCTCTGAATATTGGGCAGCAGTTTAGATTGGCAATCATGTGGAAAAAGAAAGCTTGCTTCACTGTCACTGCTAAATAATGCATACTAACCATTCAGATATTAGAAAAGCTTTAAAAACTTTAAAGTTTTAAAATCACTTAAATTCCAGCTATAAAAAAAACAAGACAAATTCATCATATAAACACACTGAAGACTCCAGGTTAAGTATTTCCCTTTTACTTTTCCCCTATTTTGTTCTCTTTATATTTTTATATCATCCCTCCCAACTACCTTTAGGTTTCTGTAAACAATCATCTCATGTGTAAGGTAGATAAATTCTAAAATTAAAGATCTTTCAAATCTAAAGATACTGGTATTTTACAGTGTTGTCAAATTTTATATAAATCTATTTAATTAAATCTTTACAGTGACCAGCACAAATGTTCCTTTTTATCGATATAAAAGGCCACCGTAGAATGATGGACTATATTTTAGGGTTTTAAAGTGTTTTAAAGGATCATTGTTGATGTCTTTCAACCTTAAGATCATGTTAGATCGTTAATGTTTGACATCCTACCAGCAAAACACAAAATCTCTCGATTTGAGGACGCTCATCATCATTTTTCTTTAATTCTAGTTGGACATGGGGTGCACTTTAATTTTCCCATGATTGTCATTAAATATTTTATATGCTTCCCAGTTTTCATCACTATACCAGTAAAATGTAAAACATCCATGGCAGACATCATACAAGAGGCAGCTGGATGACTCTTGAAGCCCACTCTGTTTCTTCAGTTCTGGGCCCAATCCAAATCCGGGTTCCCCCTCCTACTCAACACCAGGCAGCGCTCCTGTGCAGAATGGATAACTAACAGACGAATAAGCATCCAACATGAAGAGAAGAAGAGGACCTGGAAGCACTTCACCTCCTCCTGGGATTCTTCACCTCTCCTGCTCTGCCATCCTCATGGCTTTTCCTGGAGCTCAGCTCAAGCCACCATTATGACCCCATTCAGCCTGGCTAGTGGGAGTTTTTGCACTACTGCAGCAGTCCTCACTTTCACCCCCTTTTCTTGAAAGTTTTGCTTGTACACATTTGTCGGCCCAACTCGTCCTAGATGGGAATCCTTGACCACTCTGTATAACAGAGGCTGACGGCCACAGTTGAGTCAGTCCCAAACCTACCCTGTAGTCGGCATCGCACCGAAGGGTGGAGAGAGACCCCTGCATGGGAGGGATTGGAGGGCTGCGTAGCACTTATCCCCTTCTAGTAATCATGATCCTAGCATTTCAGATATTCCCCCCTCAAGTTGTTTTTCCCTCCTCCTTTTTTTTTAATCCTTGCTTTTGCCCCTCGAGTTTGGAATCACTGACACCAATCAAAACCGTGGCCTCTTCACCTTGTGAAACAAGGCAGGCCATTATCCCTTTCAGAGACCACCGCCGATTGAATGTGAACAGCAAAGCAGCAGAGACGAGAACGAGAGAGGAGAAAATGTAAGGAATCAAAAATGCCATTACTAGCTCGGATTACGTGTGAATTGTGCCCAATGGACAGGGAAATGTTGGAATATGCAATGTCCCCCTACTTTATAGGAGGCCTCTATTTGCAGACACCCCCCACCCCCCCGTTCCTCAGCTCCCGTCTAAAGTTTTAATACTGAGGGGTCGGAAAAGAGATCCCACATTCCAGAGGTGCAGGTTTGGATCACCTCTTTGTTTAACGAGGATGGGGGAAAAAAAATCTGATGTCCTTTTGTTGAGCTGACTGGGTTTGTGTGTAACTGAGGGGTTTAAATGCTGCTTTTCCTTATGGGACAAAATGAAAATCTAAAATGATATGAATCCATAAAGCAAAATTAAAAGAGAGGACTTTTAAAAAAAAAAAGACTCCTTAACCGAAATATTGGAGATTTTCCTTTTCTTTGTTTTCGTATATTTCTTTGTGTTTTGATGCTTTAACTGCTCTGTGTAAAAGAGAGAGGAAAAAGAAAACAGCTGTAGTCACTTTTTGACCGTGTGTGCAGTGTAAAATTGGAGAACTTTCACTTCTTTTGCTCACATCTGTCTCTTGTGTTGAGAAGCCAACTGATGTGTTTTGTCTTGTGTCTCTCCAGTTGCCCATCCCCTTTTATCAGGAGGAACTTAAAACCAACAAAACAGGAACAGCTTCTTTTTTTTTTTTTTTACATATGTATATTTCTCTTTTTTATTAAAATACAACAGAAAATAATGCAACCTTAAACTGAAAACAAACAAAAAAAAAACTGAAACACAATCCTGTCATACCTCATGCAACACAAAACTCAAAATAACTCGGGAGGCATATTTTGCAGGATAATGTAAAACTGTTGGGCTTGTGTGTACGCAACCGTTCAGTTCAGCTCAATAAATTAAAAATAATTGAAAGGTTTATTTACTCAGTAATTCAGCTAAGAAGAGAAATCCATATATAGAAATTGTTGCACACTGCGAGATATTTTAATGATCTATTTTTTTTTTTTATAACTGTTGCTTAAGGCAAAAAAGAAAAAAGATAGAAAAAGAAAATATATATATATATACCGATACTATTTTACCAGTCGGCCTCGGCAGATGGCTGCTCACACTGAGCCTGGTTCTTCCTGTTAAAAGGGAGTGTTTCCTCTCCACTGTCGCTACAAGCATGCCTAGTGTGAGGGATTGCATTTGAGTCAATGCAATCAACTGGTTTTCCTTAGATAGAAAACTTTGAATCAATTTGGCTGTATGATCTGGTGAACTGTAAAGTGCCTTGAGATGACATGTGGTGTGAATTGGCAATATAGAAATAAACCAATTTGAATTGAATTGAAAGGCAATAAAAAGTTGTACTGGATTCATTTTGTATTGCAGCAGCTTGACAAAGCCATGATGGCAATTATTTAACATCCAAGTAGTATGCAGTTCTTTATATATATATATATATACACACACAGACATCAATTTCAAACATATGGTATGGGTATCGGCCAATACTGCACAGCCAGGTATCGGTCGTCGGTATCGAGGCCAAATGGCATCGGCGCAACACTAATATATACGATAGGAGCCGTTAAAATCATGTTATGCCCTATATAATCATGGGGAGAAAGGAAGGTCCTGTGGCAAGGAGCCCTGAGCGGGACAAACAAAAACTATCTGAACCAAACCCCCCCCTGAGAAAGAAAAATTATCAACTTTTATGTCTTTCAACCTACTTGGCAAGTGGCGCCACCCTGTTCAATGCCCGGGCCACCCCACTGGCCATGTGTAAACTGTAGATGCATCAGATTAGAATTTCATCCCATTATTCACAGCCAGCGAAGTCACATTAAAAATCCTACAATAAACCAAGATATGAGTAGGTGTTTAGGATTTTATTATTTCTAAATGCAGGTTTACTACAATATATGGCTTTTAGTTTCAGTGTGCCACCCCAAGATTTTTTTAGTGGCCCCATCTAGCCTCCCCTATGCAACCTTTCTGGAGGTGCCGCTGCCTCTGGCACAAAGGCAAGGCAAGTTTATTTACCACGTTTTCATTACAAAGTTAATTCAAAGTGCTTTACATGAAACAAACAGTAAAATAGAAGGAAAATGAAAGCAAGTAAAGATAATGACAAATTTAAACTAATGAAACCCCAGATAATAGTTTAACAGCAAAACACAGATCTAGACCAATGGCTTTTTAACTTTTATCTAAAAGAACTCCACTCTAAGCATTTTAAAGTCTTCACAATAAAAGTTAAATCATTATTTTAGACTAGAAAGATGAGGTACATCCCTTTTGGTCCAATTTTAATACAGTTTCTAGTTTTATTTTTTTTTTCTGTTCAAAATTATTGTTTTTTTTCCATTAGCTTTTAAATCATGTAACTGACTTAATTAAAATTAACGTTAAATCATGAAACCAGACTGGACACATGATGCAGACTTGTTTTTATTTTCTTGAATTTATTAGATAGTTTGATTTTTCTTTCTAGGTAACTCCCTAAGTGAACCACTATGGTGTGAAGAGAGCAGCAATGAGAGACCTACCGATGTTAGTTTTTGATGAGGTCACATCCTGGCTAAGCCTTCAGGAGCAATCAGAAGCAGTAAGCCCTTCTAAACCTGAGTAGGGCACTAAATTGGCATTTTTAGACACATTGTACAGTGTGTTGTCTAAAAAACACCCGGGACATTTTGAGAACACTGTAAGAGATCTATTTATACACTTTATCAGCAAAAAAAACTTGATTTAGTAGCAAATGATCCTTTAATTTACTCCTAAATCAACTTTTTTAGCTGATAAAGTTGATTTTGGAGTAAATTATCCTTTAATATTTTTGCTACATCCACACAGATAGAGGCAAGCTGCACAGAAAGGTTCTGGAGGAAAAATGTAAAACCAGATTCAACATGAAGAGCTGTAAAAGGCTTTGTTTTATCTACACCACGCTATTCAGGGGTGCAGTAATACCGCCACAGAAGTAAAGAAGGTAGGAGAGCAGGAAGAGGACAATAAACCCAGGAATGAGAAAGGAGGCGTTGTGTTAAATTTGCACGTGTGCTGAGGGAGAGGCGAGTCCCGCCTTGGATGGCATGTGGAAACACACCAGTTTAAAGCCAGTTACCCGGATAGGGGATTTCCCACACTGAGTTTGTACATGCAGGCATTTTCTACAGACTTTTTCAGCCTGTTCGGATATGGTCGTTTTCGCCCTCGTTCATTCTGAGCGGGACCTCCGTCACATGAAGTATATATTTAAAGCCTTTTTTCTGTAGACTATGGAGGATAAAAAGTGCCAAAATTAAATAAATAAATAATTAAATGTGTCAATAATTAATTAAATGTGAAATTAAATAAATAAATGTGTCATTCATTCATTAAAACCACGTCACTAATATAAAGTGCCACATTTAAATAAATAAATACAGCGATAAACAGTTAATTAAATGTGTAATTCATTAAATAAATAAGGAATTAAATATATAAATGAGTCATTAATTTAATAAAATACGTCTTCATTTTATTAAAAAATATATATATAATTATTTCAGTGTGCATCTAATTATTTCATGGTCCTGTGTCGCAGTGCATCGAAACCATTAAAAGAATCTGTCAAACTCACCCATCAAAGTTATGGGGCGGGGTTAACACGAATCGAGTCGCCATCTACTGTATCAGAGTA